CAAAATCAGGCAAAGCAGGCAGGCAGATTGAGTTGCTCACAGAATCATTCAGTGATCTATCTATCTGCCATCAGCTACCCGAGTCTGTCACATATACTTTGCTTGCCGAGAGTCTGCACTGAATAGAAACTTCAGTCCTAAGAGAGGTTCGGCTGTGCTTAAAAGCAGAGCTGAAGATCTAAAGACTAGCTAGAAAGCAAGAAATCCAACCATTTCCTGCTTCCTAGCTAATCTAAACCTCCCAGCATAGCAGAAAAGCTGATGGTCGGAAACAGGAAAAATAGCAATTTAGCAGGCAAGTTTACCGGGTAAGGAGTGAGTGGGCAGGGAGGGTTTCTGCGGGCCATGTGGGTGGCGCAGCCTTGTGTTCCTGCGCAGCCTGGATCAATTGCTTTGGAGGGGTGCTCTGGGGGTGAGATTTCTCTGCGGCCCACTCAAATTTTCTCATGGCCACCAGTTGGCCGCGGCCCACCAGTTGGTGACCACTGCTCTAAGTGGTTTAGAGAATCAGCATATTGCTCCTCAGCAATCTGGGTCCTCATTTTACCCACCGTGGAAGGATGGATGGTTGAGTGAACCTTGAGTCTGGTGAGATTCAAACTGCCAAACTACTGACAGCCGGCAGTCAACAGAAGTAGCCTGAAGTACTACCTTCTAATCGCTGCACCACCACAACTCTTAAAACAAGAAAATCTAATTGTCTCTTGGGAAAAAAAGGCACCTTTGGGATAAACAGGGTGATGATTCCTGCCTGGAATCCGGATCATGACAATTTAATCTACTGCATCCTCCTTTCTTGCAAAAAGTAAGGATTTTCTTCAATGCAGCACTTATAAACAACCACCATCGTAACAGAAGTTAGCTATCTAATACAATGGAGTCTAAATAGATAGGTATTTAAAATAATTTTCTAGAAAATGATAATTATTTTTAAAGATTTATCAAAAAAATGTAATCAAGCTAAGTACCTATTATAGAAATTGGAGGGTTTCTACAAACAAGATCTGCCCTGAATACAATTTAAAACCCAGATCATATTTACCCCATTAAGAAGAGTCTAGATTTTTTTTTTTTGGGGGGGGGGGGGAGTAGCCGAAACTCCCATCAAGTAAAATGTTCTGAATTTCTGTTCAGCTGAACTTCTGGGCCACAATCACTTATTTCAGGTTTGAAATAAAGCAACGTTCCTATTTTGTGCGTGTCCCTAATGTCAAATCTTTTCTCTATCACAATAAGCCACAATGTTTGACTTGAATTATAGAGAGCTGTATTAAGTGTGAATTGTTTGATACAACTACAATCCCCAACTTTATTTAATAGGGAGCGTGACTTGCAATAACATCAAAAACCGTGGTTTGTTATTTCAGGCATTGCAGAAAATGTGCTAAGCCAGATATAAAAAAGGCATGATCTTGCTTTGCTATTCTTGCTATTCCTTATTGAACTGCAACTACTAAAATTATTGCAAGCCATTACATTGGGCTTTTCAATTATTCCACTCTACTAAAAACACATACACACCAAAGGACACAGATTTGTTTTCACAAAATGATGATGCTGATTTCATATTTACCCAGAAAGCAAATATACCCTTCCCCTTAAACATACTTGATTCCTGGAACTTCACAAGATTTAGGCCTTGAGGATCCTGTCTGAAAGAGAACAGAGAAGAGTAGGTCAGCATGAGACACTCAGCTGCAAAAACAAACAAAAGGTCATTATATCAAAGAAGAGAAGTCAAGCTCCTTCCCATCTGGACCAACCCAGGCAGCTGTACTGCAACTGCACTTATTTACTGATGGAAAAAATGTCTCTATGGAAGAACTGGGAGATTCTCCTAGTCCACCTTTTCCAACTAACAACCAATGCTGTCAGGTGCAAGGATCCAGGACAATGCCGTTAGCTGATCGGAGAAGTTTCTTTATTGCTGCTCGCCTATTTACAAGAATCTCACCAAACTGATTTCACTCTCTTGAGAACAACCAGATAAGCACTCCGAGGATTTAGACGGGTGAGAGAGTGGGGAAGGGTTTCTGTCACTTCCTCCCTTGCAGGAATTGGAAGCTAACCAGTCCCTTGACTCCACCCTCCACTTCAGCTGCCAATTCTGCCACACATGCCTTCACATGAATGGAGAGTGCGGTGGATTATAAAAATCATATTTTTGGGGAGCTGGGATGTGAAAGAGGGGGATTTCTATGTTGCCCCCTCTCCCTTGAGAAACCAAGCATGACAGAAAACCAAATTGTTGGAATATGCTATAATCGGTTACACAAAATCCCATTTCTGGCTGCTTGAAAATTAGATTAAAAAGCATTTACAGAATTTCAGCCCTGGTTTATACACCAAACATACTATTCACTTTAAAGTCTGAAATAGCTCCTTTCACTTCTGTGTATGTGCTGTATTCCAAGAAGAAAGCTTTACTATCTCTGACAGTTCAATGGTGTCTGTAGCTCATATACTCCACAAAATTAGTGCCAGTACCTTCTTAGCATCCCATCCTTGTTTTGAAAGATTTTTCTCTGTCTCTGATGCATCTTCCTCCATGCCTGGAACCGTCAGTAATAAGACTATAGTGTGAGAAAGAATATATCAGCCAAGTGTGCTCTGAAAATGCCTGGGAAAGAGGAGAAGTGAGTAGAAAGGATTCTTTGTAGGGCTATCCCATCTCTTTTGTTCTCTATGAGCTCTCTTAACTTTATAGTTCTTGTGCACGCTAAAAATGGAGGCAGGCTGTGTCCCTCACATCACCTCCTCAGTTTCTGATCCCAATATTGAAGGGAGGGAAGAAAAGGGATTCCCCCATCATTCGAATAAAAGAAGAAGCTTGAGCGCTCTGCTTTTATTAGGAAACATTTTCTTCACAATCAAGCAAATGTGAAATAAAAATCCTTTTAGAAGGACAGTGAGGGCAAAACTCAGAGAAGGCTTGTGTGCCTGTATACAGTCCCTCCACTCTTCAAAGCTCATGTGAAGCAAGTGGACAGTTGTGAAGGGCTACAGGGGGGAGGGAAGAAGACCAAGATTTGAAGATCAATTCACTCTTATCAGGAAAGTAAAGGCCGCTGTTACTCAGGTAGAGTTACATTCAGCAGAGGGCATTTTTCAAAGATCATACACAGCTCAGTGACAAAACTTCTGGCATCTTCAATTTAGAAAAAACACACCAAGTCGTCCAGAACGGCTGCTACTTGTCAGCAAGAAACAAGTAGTAGGCCAAATCCAACTTTAATACTAACTTGGTGTGTGAAGTTCAGATATGATGGACACTAGATTACCTATATCAGGGGTCGCCAACCTTTTGGACCTCAGGGACCACCAAACTCATAATTTTAGATCCCAGGGACCACTGACCGGTTCTGTGGGTGTGGCATAATTTGTGGGTATGGCTTGGTGGTCATGTGACTGGCTGGGCATGGCTTGTAGGTAAATATTATAAATATTTATATAAATATTGAATTTTTTATTAAAAAAAGAACAACGTCTACCTAAAATCAGGCAAAGCAGGCAGGCAGACTGAGTTGCTCACAGAATCACAGATTCATTCAGAGATCTATTATCTGCCATCGGCTAGCTCAGTCTGTCATATAAAATTTGCTTGCTAGCAAGCAAACTCACAAAATTAACTCACAACACGCCATGCATGTAAATATTGAATTTTTTATTAAAAAAGAACCACTTTTACCCAAAATCAGGCAAAGCAGGCAGATTGAGTTGCTCACAGAATCATTCAATGAACTATCTATCTGCCATCGGCTAGCTCAGTCTCTAAAATTTGCTTGCCATGAGTCTGCACTGAATTTGCTTACAAGCAAACCTTCAGTCCTAAGGGAGGTTCGGCTGTGCTGAGCCGAAGAGCTAAAGACTAGCTAGAAAGCAAGAAATCCAACCATTTCCTGCTTCCTAGCTAATCTAAATCTCCTGGCACAGCAGAACAGATGATAGTCGGAAAAAGGAAAAATAGCAATTTAGCAGGCAAGTTTACCAGGTAAGGAGTGAATGGGCGGGGAGGGTTCCCGCGGGCCATAGGGGAGGGGCAGCCTTGTGTTACTGCACAGCCTGGATTAATTGCATTGTGGGGGTGCTCTGGGGGTGAAATTTCTCTGTGGCCCACCAAAAAATTTTCACGGCCCACCAGTGGGCCACGGCCCATCGGTTAGCAACTGCTGACCTATAACATTGTATGACTCTTGAGAAATAGCTGAAAGTTCAGAGTTGTACTCTTAAATGCTGATCCTCTCAGCATATCCCTGAAAGTCAGATGAATATAAGAAGTTGCCTTGGACTTGATCACATTACTAGTAGTCCACCTAGTAATTTGAATTACTCTATTTATTTATTTGATTTATTTGGAGATTCAAGAATTTGGGGGATGGGAGAGGAACCCAACTATTATTTGTCATGATTTGTTATGATACATTATCTTTGTTTCGTATGAATATGAGCCTTAGCATACTTTCCAGTATTTTCAGAGAGTCCATTTCTAATTCCTCTTCAGGATCAAATACATAAACAGCCAAAATAACTTCAGCTTTTGGATGACATTTTTCCAATGTGAAATTTCACAATCTTCTCTGCATCTCTCTAATTCTTCCCCCCACCCACCTCTAACAAAGTTTACAAGCAAATTTGCAGCTTTTTTTTCACAACTCCTGGATTGTGCTTGCTTTTTTTTTAATCACCTCTTTTTTGCTGCATATCCTGTGACCCAGCTGAGAAAGGCTCTGTCTGAGTGGGGGTCATTGTGCTCTGGTGTAGGGCAGAATCAGAATTGGTCCTAGTGACAAAGGGGAAGAAAACTGTTAAAATACTAGCCAAGTATCTGACGCATTTGCAATGCATACATTTTTTACCAAAGGCAAATATTTAGCTCTGGAGCTGCTAAGTATTCCATATATTCCATAATATACTCTGCCTTGGATAGCGTTTATAGCCATGGTTCTTTATGAACTGATATCCAAGCATAATGCAAGTGATGGTGAACTACTGGAATACCTAAAAGGGCTGTTTTCACCTTCATGAGCACAGCAAGCCATTCAAACTGACTGCAGAGATCTGTTCTAAACTCATAGCAGCTAAAGTAAAGTCAGTGTATGCAGGTATATGTGTGTAGAGACATTACCCCGCCAACGAAAGTGTGTAGAGTCAAGGCATGGTTTTCCCAGTTACAATGTATGGCTGTGAAAGTTGGACCGTAAGGAAGGCTGAGCGTCAAAAAATTCAGGCCTGTGAACTATGGTGCTGGTGAAGACTCCTGCGAGTCCCTTGGACTGCAAGGTGATCAAACCGGTCAGTCCTAGAGGAGATCAACTCTGACTGTTCTTTAGAAGGCTGGATCCTGAAGATGAAACTCTTGGCCATCTAATGAGAAGGAAGGACTCATTGGAGAAGAGCCTAATGCTGGGAACGATTGAGGGCAAAAGAAGAAGAATAAGGTTGCTGAATGGAGTCACTGAAGCAGTCAGCGTGATGTTAAATGGATTCCGGAAGATGATAGAGGACAGGAAAGCCTGGAGGAATATTGTCCGTGGGGTCATGATGGGTCAGACATGACTTTGCAACTAACAACAACATGTGTGTGTATATATATAGCATGTAGGTATGTGTGCACATGTGTGTATACCATGTAGGTGTGTGTGTGTGTTTGTATGTGCATAGTGTGTTCACAGAAAAAGGTGACAATAAAAGTTATCTTATTTCTATTGTGAAACATATATGTCAGCAATACTAGGTGAATTTATGTGATTATGTCTTCTATAACTATCCCCATCTTGATTGCAACCCTCTTCCTTAAAATATCTGACTCTTTCTTGCCATCAACATTCAAAATGTTGCTCCTTACTTCTACAATTGTATGTACATTGAGATCAGAGTACTGACCAAAGACCACGGTCATACATATGAGGCTACCCTTCTACTGGTATCACCAGTAATGTAATTTCTGAAGTTCTATTCCTTGCCTTCTAGAAAAAAAAAGCAGATTGCAATTTGGAAGCCATTTCTGTTTTTGTCTGTCTTAGAAATGTTTAAGGACTCTCTCTAAATATGTGAAGGATTGCAATGAAAAAGATAGAGCAATCTCCACTGCTTCAGAGGGTGGAATTAGGTGGGGGGACCTTGCTGGGAAGAAATTTAAGGGAGGATCTTAAGCCAGGGAAATATTTAAACATCAGGGAAATGCTACTGAAGCTGGAGGGTTTTCCTGCTAGAGATATTTCAACTGAGGCTATTTTGAAGACATGGAAGATGAATCCTGGACTGCAGAATTTGCATGGAGTACTGGACTGAATTAGATGTCCTCCGCGATTATTCAACTTATGGTCAACATGTGGCCACTAGTATTTAAACAGAGAGCAAAGCCCATTTCCTTCTAGCACTGAAGATGTTACCTAGTTAAGCAATGAAACATCTGCAAGAAAACAACAAACTCAGTGAGCACCAAGGACCCCACTGTGGTCAATCTGTCCTACCTCTGGAATGCTTTGGAATGTTTTCCCCATATTATATATCAGGGAAACCAAATGTTCAGAGAGAGATTAATTTCCTAGGCTTTTAAAATTATTTCATTCTGCCGCTGTGGTTTTTAATTTGTTTTGTTAATGTTGTTTTGACTATGTGAAGTATTTATACTAATTGTTACCTGCCTTAGAAGTAGTGAGGAGAAACCAATTTTCATGAATATGCAGATAAATTTAAAATACTAGATTGAACCATTTCAGATACACTTTAGGTGTCATTAGGAAGGACTGCCCACATTTCAAACCCAGATTTAATTCTGGCTACTGTGGTAGTAAACCATTAATAATCCTAACCTGGGTTCTTATTTAATGCCATGCCTCATTTAAGCTCTTGGTAAATTTAATCAAATAAGATATGGTCCAGGATTCACAGTCTACTAGCTTTTAAAATTTTTACTAGACACCTGCATAACTGGATAGAAGCATTCCTGCCAAACAGACAACAAATGGTCAAAATTGGGAGCGTCCTATCAAATTCTGAACCTGTCAACAGTGGGGTCCCCCAAGGCAGTGTTCTAGGACCAACTCTCTTCATACTCTATATAAATGACCTCTGTGATCATATCAAGAGCAACTGCGTTCTCTTTGCTGATGATGTAAAGTTATTCAACACCACAGACAATACTGCTAGACCTTGACTATGTATCAGAATGGTCAAACAAATGGCAACCTCAAATCTCAATAAATAAATGCTCTGTCCTACATATTGGCAAAAAAATTATCAGAAAATAAAATACAGGCTGAATAGTCAAGACCTTGTTGATGATCCAAACTCTGTCAAGGATCTTGGAGTACTCATCTCTAATTACCTAAGTGCTAGAGCCCACTGTAACTACATAGCCAAAAAGGCATTTAAGAGTTGTTAACCTAATCTTACGCAGCTTTTTCTCTGGTAATATCACACTACTAACTAGAGCATACAAAACATTTGCTAGACCAATACTCGAATACAGTTCATCAGTCTGGAACCCACATTACATATCTGATATTAACACAGTTGAGAAAGTCCAGAAATATTTCACAAGAAGAGTTCACCACTCCTCTACTTGTTACGGAATACCTTATGCCACCAGACTCGAAATTCTAGACCTGGAAAATTCTAGACCTGGAAAATCTAGAACTACGCTGCCTTTGGTCCGATCTAAGTATAGTATATAAAATCATAAATTGCAATGTCCTACCTGTCAACGAATACTTCAGCTTCAACCATAACAATACAAGAGCAAACGATAGATACAAATTCAAGGTTAATTGCACCAAACTTGATTGCAGGAAATACAACTTCAGCAACAGAGTGGTCAATGTCTGGAATACTCTACCTGACTCTGTGGTTTTTTTCCCCAAACCCCCAAAACCTTAACCTTAGACTGTCTACTATTGACCTCACCCCTTTCCTAAGAGGTCTGTAGCATAAGCGCACCAACGTGCCTACCGTACTGTTTCTTTTATTTTTTTATTTTTCTTATATGTATCCATGTATTCATAACTATGTTTTTACTTATACCTATTATCTTGTAAGCAATTGACAAAAATAAATAAATAAAATAAATAAATAGTTAAACACACAGGCATATACTTGAACAGTTAAGCTAATGATTATAATTGTTTTGTCAAACATTTTTATCCGAATTACATGTCTGCCCCTCTCAATGAGTGAATCTGGTTGGCTGCATAAATTGGATAGGTAAATAAATATTTCTTGGATGTTATGATATATAATATATTCTTTTCTGGGTGAAAAATACACTTTTAGAGATTGCTGTGTGAACTGAAAAGTTAGATTTTTGTATTTCAAAATTATCGTATACATACCTTCTCCAGCTTGTATCTGAAGGAGGAGACAGATAGACAGTACCATATGGACAGCTGTCCACGTAAATCAGTCAGTCAAGGGAAAAATGTTTTTTAGACGTGTCTTTCCCTCAAGAATTCTTTAAAAAAAAAAACAACACCACACCTTTTGCCCTATTAGTTCTCTTCTTTTGGAAACAAATAATGACTTGTTGTTAGTGTGACGCCATTATTTTTCCAGGACTGCTGTGTTCTCTTCGTGATCCCAACCAGTCAGGATCACATAAAACAATGATATATAACCAAACAGAAACAGTCAGGTGACAACACTGCAGATTCAGCTAGAGCAAAGCTACTTGACTCTATTTATATGCCCATTAAAAGCATAAAAGGCTGATTAAAGAACAAGTGCCTTGAAATTCAGGCTTATTTAGCCAAGGGATTGTTTCGAAATAACAGAAGTCTGTACTTCATCCTCCCCAGCTTAATTTAATCACTCTATTTTAAAGAGGAGTGGGAAAAGCGTTTTGTCATCACCATTTTACAACCCTCGCTCATCTAATAAAAATCATCTACAGATCTAAGAACGTTCCTGCTTACCCCGTCCTACTCATGCCATTTTATCAAATCAAAGGATATCTGTCTGCCATGTTTATCCACAGAGAGAGGGCGCCGGTGTGGTGAGCCAAGGCGATTCCTATCACGATATACCCTGTCTACCAGCCCATGGTGTCGAGTTGTCCTACTGGTGTCCAACCCAGATGGCTGAAAGGGAGTCTAAAGAAAAGACAAGAGAAAGAGCTTAAAACATAACCTACTGGATGTCCCACCACAGGATCCGGCTGCTGGAGCGTGAAACCTCTATTTTCTCAAAAGATTTAATATTTAGACACACATACAGGTAGTCTGTGATTTACAACAGTTCATTTACTGACCATTTGAAGTTGCAAGGACACCGAAAAAAATGACTTACAACCGTTTTTCATACTTATGACCGTTGTGGCATCCCCATGGTCATGTGATCAAAAATCAGACGCATGGCACCCGATTCATGCATATGATAGTTGCAGTGTCCCAGGGTCATCTGATCACTTTTTGCGACTTTCTGACAAGCAAAATCAATGGAAAGCCAGATTCACTTAAGGGTGTTACTAGGTTAACACTTGTAGTGATTCGCTTAACATCTGTGGCAAGAAAGGTGGTAAAATGGGACAAAGCTCACTTAACAACGGTCTCATTTAGCAACACAAATTTTGGGCTCATTGTGGTCGTAAATCGAGGACTACCTTGTAATTTATAGAGACACATTTAACTTTTGGTACAGGTCACAGACACTGGTTTCTAATGTTCCCGTCATTCTTCTGAGCAGAGCTGGTATAAAATTCACCTGGAAGGACATGTCCATCGCACTGCTGCCAATCTGATTGACGTTTGGCAAGGATCCTCCATAGTACTGGCCACGGGTCTGCCCCAACTGCAAATACTGGGTTTTCTGCAGCTGTAACTAGAAAACACAAAATGGAGAGATTAAGTGAGAGAAAAGGAGTGTTCTCATGCTAGTTAGGAAGAGATAACCGAAAGCTTCCTGTTAAATTTTCAGTAGATGGAGACTGAGTGCTGAGCATAATGAATGTGCAAGATTGAGCAAGGTTCAGGTTCAATTCCAGGCTGTCAGAGATACAGCTATCAAGACTGGCAAGCTAAGGTACTAACAAAGAGACTTGGAATAAAGCAGCTTATTATTTTTTATTGCTATTTGCCATTTTTACCCTGGTTGTTTCTTGTAAGTTGCCAAAATTCACTGTAAGGATTCCGGCACTTAACCCCATTTAAATCATAAGTCTCGAGCCAAACTTCCAAAGCTTCAAAAGGATTTATTGGGAGTTAAAAGGTCCAGCATTGCCTGGGTGTAGCCGACTCTGAGACACATTATTCGTTGTCACCCTTGACCCTGGTTTTCCCCCCACCCCCTGGGTATATCATAATTCATATTCTCCAATGGGAAACATCCATAGCCAAGAGTCATCAAACATGCTCTCCAGTTAGAATTTTGCAAGGCAGAAACTTCGGTCACCTAGTTACTATCTTTGAAAACATTTATGGAATGCAGTTTTGGTTTGCAAGCTGCCGCGCTGCTCCCCCCTCCCTTTCTGTTGGCAATTCTAAAAAGACCATAGAAATATTTTATGAGTTGACACACTGTTCAAATTGGGCAGTCCTGTAAATTCTTTAAAACAAACAAGCAAACCAAAAAGATGTTTAGAGTTGGAAAGTGGAGAAATGGGTGAAAAAAACTCAATCTTATCACTGGTTCAAAGCTGAAACATACACAACCAGACATAGACACACACACACACACACCACCTTGAACTGTTTTTTGCAATAATTTAAACATATACTACAGCACATATGCTTTGCATTACGGATATGCAAGAAATATAAAATGCATTTTGTGTTAAACCCAGAATAAACCCATGTGCCTTGGAAGTCCTGCTGACTGGCTGTGGAGGGATCACAAAATTATTTAGGGGGGCGGGTGAAGGCAGTGAGTGAGTCTCAAAAGCAGGGGCGGGCAACTATGGCAACTGTGGACTTCAACTGCCAGAGATGCCTGACCGAGTATGGTTGGTTCAAGAATTTTGAGAGTTGAAGTCCACAGATCGTAAAGTTGCCATAGCTGTCCACCCTGCTCAAAAGGCATATTGTCAAGAAAATATCGTCACCCTACAGATCCTAGGAGAATTGTATTCACACCTCTAGAACCTCATGGGAGAATAACACATCTCTTTTTAGGTTTCCTTTTCATTTTAATCCTAGAAAACATGCACATAGTACATTGTATCTGAGAAGACTTTTTTTTTGGGGGGGGGGATTCCCCTTCTTAACAGCACCCATCTGGTAATAAGCAAAAACTGCCTCTTGATGCAGCTTCCTTGCAATAGACACAGCTATGGTTGCCAAGCTTCTCTGTCTTATACACAAAAACTCTTATCTCACTCTTGCTATACAACTCTTCCCACCCAAACAATGGGGTGTTTGTTTTTTTTAAAAAGAATATTCAGGATTATGGTATTGAGAACCATCTTTCAAAAATTTAGATTTTCTCAAAATTCAACGTGAACGTAAAGATCCCAAAGATCTACTGCAGTGCTCTCAAAAGCCAAAATAAATCTGTTTTTAATGAGCCTTTAAGAACAGTAAGAGTAGGAGGAAGATGGAAAAACAATGTTCCTTTGATTTCAAATAATTCCACCACTTTCTTTTCTTCCTTTTATCTTCTCTCTCTCTTTCTCTCTTATGATGCCTGGATTATTTCTTAAGCCATCAACAATCTATCATACCAAAATGGATTTCGGGCTAATTGCTATCCCCATTATCTTGAAACATTACAGATTTTCACTCACTTTTTTCATTGTAATAGCATACAGGTAATGCTCAACTTGCAACAGTTCATTTAGTAAGTGTTTGAAGTTACATCATCGCTGAAAAAAAGTGACTTATGCCTGTTTTTCACATTTACGACCACTGTAGCTTCCCCATGGTCGTGTGTTCAAAATTCAGACCCTTGGCAACTGATTCATATTTATGACGGCTGCAATGTGCTCCGGTCATGAGATCATCTTTTAAAACCTTTTGACAAGCAAGACTGGAAAGCCAGATTTACTTACAAATCATGTTACTAACTTTACAACTGCAGTGATTCACTTAATAATTGTGGCAAGAAAGGTCATAAAATGGGGCAAAATTCACTTAACAAATGCCTCACTTAACAACAGAAATTTTGGGCTCAATTATGGCTGTAAGTTGAGGACTACCTGTATTTGTCAGCACCCAGATCTCTATCAAGAGTTCAGTACAAGGGTCTTCAAACTAGACAACTTTAAGACTTGTGGACTTCAACTCCCAGAATTCCTCCTCCAGTCATGTTAGCTCAGGAATTCTGGGAGTCTTAAACTTGCCAAGGTTGAGGACCCTTGGTTTAGTATAAGGCATAAAGGATCCCCTTCCTCAAACCTTTTAACAACTATTTTATTATAACAAGTCTTGGTTATACAACTGACATTACTTTCTTTCACACACACAGTCCCATCCGAGAACCAAGTACCTGAAAAATTTCACCGATAGACAGAACCTAGCCTGTGCCCTTATTTTAATAACATTACAGTGCATAGGGTCAATAAAATAAAATATTTCAATCTATGTGCCTCAACTTTTCATTTCCTAATTTAGTATAAGTGATGCAGCAAAATCACCTGCATTTTAAAGCAGTCATTTTAATTACCACTTTAAGGTACATGAAAATACATAAAACCACCTTTTTAAAAAAGTAGAACACCTGCTTGAAAGACAGCATTTTTCTTCCCATGAACCATCAGACCTTCCATGGTGAACAAGGCGCAGGTGGTGGCTTAGCGGAGAATATAATCCACCCCTTATTCTGCATCTTCCCGAGCAGAAAACAAAATCTTGCAGTTCTGGAGGAAAAAAACCCTAATGGTACCTCCATCTCTTTGGTCTTATACACAAATTTGAGAATATAGAGTCAAGAGAAGGTCTTTTAACAATCCATTTAACTCCCTGAGAATGGAGCTCATTATGCTACTATTATGGCTGCCTAATTAAAGCTTCAATTGGTTTTAGTTGAGATATTTTCTCCTCTTGATGTAGGAAAAGAGAATTTCAAGGCCAGAGGCTGGCTTGGAGCTATCCATGGTTCTGGTTTTAGCTTTTGGCTCACTCTAGCCTGTTGTGATGCAAATATGTAACTTGACCCATCCTTGACTGCAGAGATTCGGGTGTTTTATTAGGTCTCTCCCTACCAAAATCTAACCTTGCCTGATGTTACTTCTATGAGCCTCAAATAACTGCAGTGGTTTATTTTTTAAAAAAAATTAAAATTCACTCAAGAATGGGATTAGCTGAATCTTTACTATGATCCAGCAAAGTAAATGAAGACTAAAGGAAGCTTGTTTGATTGTTTATTTATTAGCAATTTCTGTAATCCACCCAAAACTTGAAAGATTCTGGGTACAACAGCAAATAAACAAAAACAAAATAAAGAGTGATAACAAATATCACCAGCTGTAGATTCTATCAATCAGACCACCTAAGAACTGAAAGAGTTATTTATTTACTCAATTTATAGGCCACCTCAATCACCATAGCAACTTTTAGATAATGGGAAATCATAAATAAATTTAAAACAAGATAGTGAGAAAACAGTCACAACAGAAGTATAAAGAAACTGCATCAATGAAACAACACGATGATATCACAGTCTACCAACAGACTCTTGACAGCCTTCCTGCACTAGAATAAGTCCATAATATCATCACCTGAGGATCAAGGGTTGAGATACACAACTGAATATTGCCTGCACACTGATGCTACCTGGAGCCACACAGTCGGAGGGGCTCAGATAATGGCCCCATCCAGCTTTTGATTAGGAGCGGGGAAATGTACTGAGTCCTGAAAGCCCAACAATGCAAAGAGAGTATCTCTGGAATAGGTGGCCAACCCAGATTGGACCCCTGCAACATGATCCTAGGACAGGTATATTTGCCTTCATTTGTGAGTAAAATAACTACAGGTTACCAATAAAGGAGAATAGTTGTAGGTCAGGGCTGAAGTGATGCATTTTTGGTACTTTCTGAGCTTGGTTGTTTTCACATCCTTGTGTGACATCCTTGTGTGAGCTTAGAGAGTACCAAGTACCCCTAACTACCTGTTGTTCTTATTGGCACAATGTAGTCCCTACTATGGGCTTGTATATAAGTTTTTGCCAACAAGTCTGTTCTGCAGTCTTGCTGAAAGGACACAGATTTAATCTGTTTAATGTAACACAGTAGAAGTCATTTATACTTCTGGAGGGAGTTTTACAAAGTGGCAGAAACTATTATCCTGATCACATCCTATATACTAGAAAGGAAAGAGATCCTTAAATAAGTCCTAGATCAGCTGAATGGGCAGGAAGAGTCAGTTTTGCTTAAGTATAACCTGATGTATCCTAGTGCTTCCTTGCAGATTTTTAAGCATAACATTAAACACTCTGAATTAACTGTAAAGCAGGCTTGTCCAACCCGCGGCCCAGGGGCCACATGTGGCCCAGGTCACCTCGTAATGCGGCCCAGTGCCCACCCCAACCTTCGTGCCAGAGCCAGCAAGGAGGAGGAGGAGAGGCAGGCGCGGGGCGAGGCGAGCGCCACGCCAAGCAGTAACAGAAAAGGCGGGCGCCGTCAGAGCGCCACCTCCTGCTGTTGCCGCCCCCGCCGCCGCTTCTGCCCCCGCTGTCGCCGCCGCTGCTACTTCTGCCCCCACTGCTGCTTCCACCCCCGCTTCTGTCCCCGCCGCCGCCGCTGCTTCTGCCCCTGCCCCTGCTGCCACCGCTGCTACTTCTGCCCCCACTGCCACTGCTACTTCTGCTGCCCCCGCCCCTGCCGCTTCTGCCCCCGCTGCTGCTTCTGCCCCCGCCGCCGCTGCTGCGTCTGCCCCCGCTGCCGCTGC